AGTCCCTGACAAGCCAGCGCTCCGCACTGGGAGTGATTATGGCGGAGAGATCAGCACTACCGTTGGACCACAGGGAATGCTCACCGAGGAGCACCTCACTCTGGTTGTTGGGATCAAAGTCCTTACTTTCAGACAGCCTCAGAGTAGACGGCCTGGTAGACGGCGCTTGCTGGGAAGTGACGGGTGGTTTGATTAGTTGTTGTTGCTGTTGTTGATCAGAGAAGGCTTGGACTTCGGAGGATTTCGGCGCTGAGGCCAGCTGCCGTGTAAGGGAGGGCAAGTCTATCGAGGGGTTCAGCCTGGTCGCAGCATTTGGACTGGAAAGAACCACCAGAGTGGTGAATTCAATCGGGAACTGGGGGAACTGGGGGGTCGAGGACGCTCCAGTGGTAACAGGGGGTACTAAACTACCCCCTTCGACGGCAAAGGAGAGTCCGTTGTCGTCGCTACGAGGTGGGGGGATTGGGAGGGGCAGAGGGTCACCTTCAACGTAGGAGGGTTCGCAGGGCGGAGGCTCTTGTTTGGCCGTAACCATGGGCGACCAGTTGGCGGTAGTGACGGGGCTATCGGTCCTTTTTAGGTCTCTGCAGGTCGGTATACTGGCCTGCGGTTTAACACCGTAGCTGAAGCTTGTTGGCCGGTGCCGAAATGTGGTACCGCCAGCCGGACAGCCAGTGAACTACAAAATAAAAAAAGACATGGAAGCTAGACACCTTGAAGGCGCAATGCATACCAGCACGGAAAAAATCGATGTATTCGGACTCCCCTTCTATGTAGGTCAGAGTTTTGTAATTCCATGATTCACAGTTGGCAAAATGGCTTCGGGCCTACTGTACCTTATGTTTTTTCAGCTTTGAAAGTGGTCGCAGAATTTGTTTAAATAATCTAATGTTTTCGCAACAAGGTCACGCGCTATAAATAAACACAGAAATTTACTTATATTTATTACTTAGGTACGGTTTACTGGATGTGACAAATTTGGACATTTTTTACCCTTTTTTTCTTTATAGATTATTGGGTTTCACGACATTCCTGAGATAAATATTTGGTGGTTAGGAGGTCGTCTACTTCAAATTTTTAATCTAGTTATTTCCCAATGTTTGCATAATTGCACATTTTAATTATGGGACACTTTTTTGTTGACAACATTAGGGCATCCAAATAATTATTCCTGCTTTCTCGACTTTTATAAACTTTATGTTTTATGCATATTTCCCTTCATTTGTATTGCCCAGATTGTATACTCTTTGTTTCACCTGGTTCTGTATTACAGAAGGACGGGGCTTGCGCGTGCTGATCTGGGACCTAAACTAGGATTCCACCAGAATGTCCTACGAAAACCTAACCGATCGAATTTAGTGCAGTCAGGAGGCTATTTAACAACTGACACTTAAAGGGCCGTTTTAGATTGATACAATATCGTCAGTTGGCTCACTGCAACCCCAAAAAGGGAAACTCTGAGGTTTTGAGACGATTGCAGCTGGTCGGTGAAGCCTGAGCGTCGGGACAAACTGGACGCATGCTGGGTTCGCGCATACACGAACACAAATCGACTGTTCGACGCGGTGATGAATCTTCGCAAGTGGCCGCCCACACCTACGAGACGGGTCACGAGT